GGCGGCCATAGAAGGTCGGAGGCCATCGCTAGCCATCGCTATAGTAGGTTGGAGATGGTTGGTGCAGACAGTGTGATTCAAATGCTTTCATGGCCACGTCATGGGGCTTAGCCATCAACCTAGTGAAAGTCTCAGCCCTCTACCAACTCTGCATCACCAAATGACAAGCTCTCCATGAGGCCCCAAGACGAAGCTGTCAGCGGCAGCACCATGCATTGCACGCAACGGGCCCTACAGGCTTCTATCCAGGTCGAAGAAGTACGGGATCTGGACCTCCAAGGCCGACTCGTGCAGAAAGGCCAGCACCAACGGCCGCTGCAACTGCAGGAGCCTGATCGATGTATGATTGCTGTTACTAGTTGCCCATCCCCATCTCCCACTACATGAAAGCCCTCAGCAAATGGCAAGATCACATGGAAGGCAAAATCCTTTTAAGCCCTGACCGAGCCAGGTGACCAGTCAAATTTCCCCAACCAGTCAGGCAAAGGATACCCTTCAAGCTGCTCCATGCCATGGACGCTCCGAGAGAATAGTCAAGTCTTGAATCTTGAAGGGTTTGCTGAACTGAGCTGACTGTATGCCAAGTCTATGTTGGAAAAAGATTGAGTAGAACTCCATGGAGGCTTGGACATTGTAGTCCTGTTTTTGCGTTAGTGTCCGCATCCTTCTTGTGCGAACTCCCATGGGCAGTCAGTAGAACTGAACAAAGAAAAACTCGTGCTGCCTTGAGCACAGAAGTCAACGAAGTGACGTTCCAGCCTCTCATCCGTTTCGGCTTCGAACTGCGCAGGTTAAATGACTTGAGACACACACGGGCTTATCAATTCTGGTCCAGTCAACTTCAGGAATGACTCAGGTTTAAACCACAAGAGTTTAGAACTTAAACAAAAACTTCCACGGCATGCCATGACCCTTAGACACCAATCCCCCGTGCCATCATTTAATGACTAAGCTGGCGATATGCAAAGTGGCAAGAGGATGCTTGAATCACCACTATGGAGTTTATTGATTTTCAATTGATCATACAGGATTTTACAGGTTGGTTCTCGCCACTTTGCAAATCGCCAGCTTAGTCATCAAATGAATTTTGGAGGTCTACTGATGGATGAAGCGTGCCACCTGACATATGCAGGCGGATCCACTGTTTGGAAGAGGCACCTTCATTGTGCCTAATTCTAGGTCGAACTCGGGTACACCACCTATACCTATCCAGAACCCGGCCCGGGCCCGTCGCTGTGAACCCGACTCCTCCTCCCACGTTGTCCCACCTCGAGTCATCGATCAAGTCCCGAATCTCTTTGGACGTGTGGCCACCTGTTGCGAAGGCTTCACCAGTGGGATGCATTGTTGGTTTCGAGTTTCTGGGAGATCTTGGGGATGGTAGTTTATTGGTCAAACATAGGAACTACCGGGCAGGCATACCATGAAATGGGAGTCCATCTCCTTGCTGGGTCCCTCGGCCCCCCCCGGTGGTCCTGAAGTGGTGGCACTGGGAGAGGCGATCAAAGAACAAACAAGGATGGCCAAGGATGGTTTCTTTTGATGCCTCTCCCGGGTGGTGGCCCCCCATTTCATCATTTCCCACACGTGCAACTTCTATCTTAGTTGAGATAAGGCAAGGGCTGGTGGAGCCCAAGAAGGGTTGCAAAAACGAGTGGTGAGATCCAGACTGAATCAACCCCACAGACATTTTTTTTGGTACTGCTACCTTCATTCACCCAAGCCTTGCAACAAGTGACCAACAAAAATGTGTTCAGCTCAGGCGCTAAACGTTGGCATGATCTTCTTCTGCATGTAGATGCTGACCGCATCAGCCGTGTCATGCGCTATCCTGCCAAACATCCGCAGGCCCCGCTCATTGCGGGAGCTGAGTTTTGCTCGACACCCTGGGCTATGAGGTTGGGACCACTTGCCGGGCATGTAGAGAAATGATGTCTGTAATTCGTACGTATTGAGCGGCAACAGAAGAACACGTCAAGGGTGTTTCTATAAAATTCCAAATCAAATGCACTCTAGTGACTCTAGTGAAAGGCCACTGGAAGGATGGACAGGCGCAGCCTCTATAAAATGATAAAGCAAACACCAAGAACCACTATAAGTTCCTTCACACAGCTTGCACAGGCGCAGCTCTTTCTATATAGAACGTGTTCTTTCCGGTGCAGGTGCGAACGCTGCCCATGTCAACACCTAAGTTCTCTTTAAAAAGGCTTTTCCGGTTCCACATGCTCTCTCACGGGATTCTGTAAAATGCCAAACCAAATCTCTAGGACCGTATTTATGTATATATAAGAAAGTGCATGCTACAGCACCGTAGTCCTTAAAGTTCTTGTCGGGGCTTTACAGGGCATGCCAAGAAAGGCCACCAAAACAACAAGAACCGCCTCTATATGCAGTTGATGGTTCCACAAAACTGTAAAACAATACCCTCTCTGTAACACAAGCGTCCAAACGCATTTTAAGGAGGAACATGTGTGGAGAATTATACCTTACTATGCGGCTACTCGACGGTTGGGGTGACTCGCCTAAGTGGTCGTCAAACCTTTTTGTTCAGTGGCCTGTGCTGCCCACGTACGTACATCGCAAGTGGTGAAACACCCAAACATGGCAGTGGCTCAAAATGAGGCGGCCCCTAAGGCTCATGCCCGTGATGAATGGAACCCCGGATCGTGGGAATTCCTCAAGTCGCCGCACTCACCCATGTCTGATCCTGATTCCTTAACAAACAAACAGGGTCGACGGCCTGGACCGATCCAACTGTTTTCGCGGTTGACTTCTGTTCGTTCCTCCAGATGGACTTCCCACGACCGTGTGGCCCTGTCGGAGTGAACGACGAATGGGGCCCCAGCGGCCCGAGGGAACGCCCCCATTGCTACTAGTAGTAAGGCCAGGAGCCCCGTTCGTGGCGATGCCAGGAGCCCCGTTCGTAGCGAACATGGCTCCTAATTATAACATATATTATAACCTGCAAATCTGTATACTATGTTCATTGCATCCGACCCAGCAAATCCATATGCAACAGGCTTGCACGTGCTCCAGGCAGAGTTTGGTTACAACCAATGGAGGATCTCCAAACAAATCTGTGGATGTTGTATGGTTTTGGTGCATGGCAGGTCCCAGGTGGGGGGGTGACCAGTCTCTCTGATTAGCTCCAGGCCTTGTGAACAAGGCTGTGGATTCTTTTGGCCCACTCGGGGTCTCTTCTTCCGATGAACATGTTTCCAAAGGAAAAATAACATCGCCTTGGGATTAGGATTGGCCTCCAATATGCTTCAGTATTCATATATGCTATTTCAATAGCCATAATACGAGTCAGGGCCGGACCGAAAGCCCCCAACAAGAAACATGCCTCGTGTTGTCTGGGTCATTCTCCATGACCTTCTCCTTTTGCTTGCCCATCTTGCTCCTAGCACCAAACTTTCTGCAACTGAGGATGCCGAACTGATGCGGAACTGTGGTGCCCTTACGACTGACGGAAGTTCATGGGAAGGCATGTAAGGCGCAACCCCACTCTGTGGTGGTTGGCCATGCCCCATCGTACCCCCGGAATCCACATTGATGTTCGGAATCCACGAACATGGCGGCTTGGTGTCTTACGAAAAGAACCGGAGGGACCCCGGCAGATTCTCCGGAAGAGATCATTGAACATCTACTTAGACCATCTAAGACCTCCATAGATGCGGGAAACTGACACCCTCCTCTAGATGTTTGTTGTTGAAGAACTCTCAGGGACTATATACGCAATTGAAGGTACAAAGGATGACCATGGATGGCATGGGCCCGATTTCGGATGACCATAAAATCTGAATGCCAAACAGGTTCGGTTTAATGATCTAGAGGAAAGTGATACTGGTTGATGAATCACGCACAAAGGATGCACAAATCATTTGGGAGGGTACCCTCCCCAAAAAAATCCTTAAAAATCCCGAACTACTGCGAAGAACCCGGAAGACTGCTGCGAAGAACATATTGGATCCACCGGTAAAAACGAAACCGGTTTCGCCGTGGTCAAGGGGCGCCATGTCTCAAAGTCTCGATGCGCCATGGATTCGTCCAAGGGACACTTCGGATTTCACGGCCTCCTCGACCTCGATGGCCGGGACGAAAGGCCGAAGTCACGTCGGGAAACCCCGCGGCGGGTCGGACCATCCAACAAGCACCATTTGGAACCAACAGAATGGGAACAGAATGGAAGCTCGCATTTGAATATCATATGAATATCATATGTCTTTTATGTCTGTGTCATATGATATATATATATATATACGTGGTGGTTTCATACGGCATTTTTTTGGCATACGATCTGTTCAGAAACGGAGGCCTTCTATCTGTTCTGAAAGCACCAACGCTTCGGAACCCAACAACCATGCGCCGAACACAACTGGACTCTGTCGAAGCAGTTTTTCTTGTCCCGGGAAGACCAACCTGACAAACAAACAGTCCACACAAGCTGTAGAAACATCAAATACATACCCAAAAGAAGCAACCAGTCTAGGTCACTCAAGTACATACCCAAATCACCATGTTCTAGCTGATACTTGTCTCTGATTCTTCATGGCGACTCCTCAGAGTCGGCACATCTGGCCCCAAAAGAGATCCTGCTGAGATCCCCCAACGGCAGTGGCAGCCTGGAGGAGGCGGGCAGTGGCGCGGAGCTTCGGGTTTGATCCGGTTTTGGACGGACCCCAAGGGCACCCAAAAGCACACCCAGCTGGACCAACCTGAAGTCCTACAGCTCTTGCTTTTAAGTAGGCTCTAGCAGGAAACCACGGGATGTGGTTCCTGCCATGGAGATGGTAGTTTAGGGGGATGTCGGCTATCGTTTAGAACAATGACTCCACTCCATCAAACTGGCTAAGTCTTTTGTATGTGGCCCAGGACAGGGCATGGCTTCCGATTAAGAACCCTTATCATCTAACTATAACGGATGTCAATCTCAATTCTCAGTTTACAAACGGATACGCTTTCGCGGGTCAATTAGAACTGTCGCATGGTTCGGATGGTTTTGCCAGCTGCCTAACGAAACAGCCGAACAACGTCAAAGTGGCCATTCCGGGATGCAACGCGCAAAGCAGTCGCCCCATCTTCAGTAGCTGCATCTTTGTCAGCTCCAGCTTCAAGCAACACTTGCACAACTTTGAAGTGGTCATTCATAGCAGCTATGAACAAAGCTGTTGCCCCATTTTCCTTTGCTGCATTCACTTCAGCTCTCCCTTCCAACAACAACTTCACAACTGCCAAGTGGCCAATCTCAGCCGCAAAGTGCAAGGCCGTCGTCCCATACATAGCCATAGGTGCATCTTTGTCAGCTCCAGCTTTCAGCAATAATCTAACAATGTCTAAGTGGCAATTCTGAGCTGCAACGTGCAAAGCCGTCGCCCCATCTTCAGTGGCTGCATCTTTGTCAGCACCAGCTTCAAGCAACACTTGCACAACTTCGAGGTGACCATTCATCGCAGCTATGAACAAAGCGGTTGCCCGATCTGCCTTTGCTGCGTTCACGTTACAACCCCTCTCAAGTAGCAACTGCACCACTGCCAAGTGGCCAATCTTAGCTGCAAACTGCAAAGACGTTGTTCCATGCAGTTTGGTTGCCGCATCTTTGTCAGCTCCAGCATTCAGTAACAACTCCACTACGTCCAAGTGGCCATTCAAGGATCCGACATGTAAAGCCGTTGCCCCAACTTCAGTTGATGCATCTTTGTCAGCTCCTGCTTCAAGCAGTAGCTCCGCAACTTCCAAGTGGCCATTCATCGCAGCCAGGAACAAGGCTGTTGCCCCGTTTGCTTTTGCTCCATTCACGTCAGCTCTTGCTTCCACTAACAACTGCACAACTGCTCTGTGGCCAATCTCAGCTGCAAACTGCAAAGCAGTTATTTCATGCAGTTTGGTTACCACATCTTTGTCGGCTCCAGCATTCAGCAGCAAACCCACAACGTCAAAGTGCCCATTCTGGGATGCAACATGCAAAGCAGTCGTTCCAACCTGAGTTGGTGCGTCTTTGTCGGCTCCAGCTTCAAGCAGCAATTGCACAACTGTCAAGTTGCCATTCATAGCAGCCATGAACAAGGCCGTTGCTCCATCTGCCTTCGTTGCGTTCACTTCAGCGCTCATCTTCAACAACAACTGCACAACTGAAAAGTGACCACTCTCCGCTGCAAACTGCAAAGCCGTTGTCCCATGCGGATTTGTTGCTGCATCCTTGTCAGCTCCAGCTTTTAGCAACAACTCCACTACGTCCAAGTGGCCATTCTGAGCTGCAACATGAAAAGCCATTGCTCCATCTTCGGTCGCTACATCTTTGTCAGCTCCTGCTTCAAGCAATAGCTCCACAACTTCCAAGTGGCCATTCATCGCAGCCGTGAACAAGGCTGTTGCCCCGTTTGCTTTTGCTCCATTCACGTCAGCTC